TCGATAAGAGCTCGTTGTCCTACGGCATGGTGATCAGTTCCGAAAAGTCTAAACTGATGACAAATAATACCACTGAAATTAAGGTCGAGGAGAAAAGATTAGAGACTGTCGGCCGCTTAAAATACCTAGGAGCAATAGTCTCAGAAGAAGGCTCCAAGTCTGAACTGATGTCCAGGATTGCGCAGACTACAACAGCACTAAAGAAGCTCAAGAAAATATAGAAAGACAAAAATGTAGCCCCCAGCACCAAAATCAGGCTGATGCGCTCATTAGTCCACTCTATTTTCCTGCATGCCTGCGAATCCTGGACATTAACAGCCGATCTTGAAAGAAAAATAAAGGCGATGGAGATGAGATGCTTCAGAAGTATTTTTGGCTATAGGGACCATATCTCCAATGATACAGTGAATGAAAGGGTTCGTCAGGCAATTGGGGAGCACGATGACCTACTGGTGACTGTGAAAAAACGCAAACTACAATGGTACGGCCACGTAACAAGGAAACAAGGGCTTGCCAAAGAAATATTGCAGGGCACCACAAGAGGAGGGAGAAGAAGAGGAAGACAAAGAAAAAGATGGGAGGATAACATCAAAGAGTGGACATGACTAACATTGGGCGATAAAGTGCGTAGTGCTGAAGACATAGAGGAATGGAGGAGGATGGTTCACTGCAGGGCCGGATTAAGCCATCTTGGTGCCCTAGGCACAAATCCACATGGGTGCCCCCTACTGCCCCGGGCCCCCGATCTTCCACTGACTTATGCAAAAACTAACAAAGAAAAACAGTTGTGAAATGTAAACACATATGTTTGTACTACTATCACTCATATAAAACCTACAATAAGGTATTTCTGTATTAAAATTAATAGTTAATTAATTTTGTAATAATAGTAGACAAAAATACTTTAATTTTTTTGATAGATAAGAAAGTCAGAAAGAGCACACATTTACATTTTAAAGTTCTTTTTTCTAGATTTACGTCTGGCAAAGTTTTTGAGTACATCATCGAAGTTAATTTTGCGCAACAAGTCTGCCACAAGCATCAGCAAAGATAAGGAATCAAGCCTTTCTCGTTTCATTGTCGATCTACTTGAATGTTTTGTACGTTTCAACTGAGAAAAAGAGCGCTCAGTTGAACAGTTCGTAACCATTAATGTTAAAAATATGCGCAAAGCGATTTCTACATTTGGAAAACCAAACTCGATGCTGCCTCTAACTATTAATTTGTAGACTTCTGCATGACTGAACGTGTTGTTCTCAGATTTTGATGCACGAAACTTGTGGCGAATATATGAGTGGAACTGTTGTAGTTAGCTATATAAATTATCGTTCAGATGTTCAGGATAAGAATTTATTAGTCCCTCACAACACTGAGATGTTTGTGGTACATCGACCAAACAAGTAAATCGAACTGCTAGATCATTATATAGCTGTCCTCGTCTACTCACCTCTGTCTCAAGTTTGTCAACAATGGTGTAGAAAGCAGATATACGAAATTTGTCTCTGGCATTCTGAGATACCTCAGGAGCATCACCATCAATGACAACTGTCTTTCGTTTACGATTGCGGGTCAAAGTTGACTTATATTCCACACCTGGTGTTATTTTTTTGGCAGATTCTTCAAATTTTTCCTAGATTCATGCAAGTGATCTGCTAGTGAAGAATACAAATCAGCACACGTTTTCAAGTTCACGTGCTCATTTTGTAGAGCTTGACTGACCCTATTCAGAATTGTTTTCACTAGCAGACCAGAACGGAAGTGAATTTGTCGCTACGCACTAGTGCGTTACGTAGCACAAACATATCCCAGAAAAGTAAAAAAAATAACACACACAAATGGGTGGGGGGTATTTTACCCCCGGGTTGTGGGACCAAGGTTAAATAATGTGCGATTCAATATTACATTTGCGATTTGCTTATGTCATGCCATTGTGCTACCGGGACAATATACACATTTTTCTTGAGGACTAGTGGTGCCCCCCAAATGTTTGGTGCCCTAGGCACGTGTCTTGTTTGCCTAATGGTTAATCCAGCCCTGTTCACATGCCATCTGTGGAGCCCCAACGGCCCAAGAACTAAGGGACATGATGAGGATGAGGAGGAAAAATAAAAGAAGCGCATTTTCCCAGGGGCTGGTCTATTTTATATATTTCATAAATAAAAGAGATATGGCAGATGACACACGCGCTTAATTTACTGGTCATTCAGCAAATCTCAACTTATTGAAAGATTTTGATTTATGCATACATAATGAATAAATGAGGCCTACTAAATTTTTTCAAAGGGAGGTAATTAAATTACTTTTCGCGTGAAATATATTATACAAATCACGATTACAATCAATTTATCTTCATCTATTATTTATAATCTAGACTATCTTTTAAGCTAACTTCGAAAATCGAGGGATAGCACCGAGTTTATTCGCTCTATGACGCTGAATATGCACTGTTCTGCACACCTCAAAATTCTATTCCAAAACTCAAGTGAGCAGCAGATTCGTACTCGCAACCTCATTCAGCGACGGGTCTACAAAAGCCTATTGCCGCCACCGCCAAATGACCAAAGTCGCCGAAAAAGAGGTCCGCCGATAAGCAACACGCTGACAAATATGCCGCCGCCTTCAAATTGAAGTCGCTGTCACTGAAAACGGGCGCCGTGGCAAAGATATAAGAAGATGCAAATACAAAGGAAGAGGCTGTCTTTGTCAGCAGCACTTCCTGTGCGTGAAAAATACGATTTATGTAGTATTAGTATGGCATACAAACATGGGCGCCCGCAGGGGGGGGTTAAAGGGGGGCACACAATTTTTTTAGACAAAAATAGACAAAAAAATTATTAAAGTAAAGATAAAATAAAGAGAAAGTAACTAAGCTGATGTCCTGTCCGTTCATTCACCATACAAATACGTTACAGTAAATTAAAACTATATTAAAACATTACTTGAAATTTTTGGCCCCCCCCCCCTGGAAAGTTAATCGATTTTTTTCCCCCGCCCCCCTAGAATGTTTTCTGCGGGCGCCCATGCATACAAACATTTTGTACTAAATATCATTTTCCTCCCATTTTTCTTCTAGTCTAGTCCTATCAGGCATGCCGTTCACCAAATAATTGTGGAGGACCATGACTTTGTCTCAAACCATCCTCTCAGAAAACACATCACCATCAACTTGTTTTTCATTAATCCAAACAAAGACTATTATTAAGAGGATTTTTTCCCCATCTCTTTTCGAACTCCCAAGAAATCAGTGTCGTAACACTTTTCACCACATCGGCTGATTTGATAGATTCTTTTCAAAATCAGCAGCACGTGTAGATTACCGAATTCATTCTTAGCGATAAGGTCTTTTTTAACTTCAATTGTAGCTCTAACTGGTGTCCTCTTGCTCTTATTTTCCCTCACTGCATTTTTTAAGGACCCGTGACGGATGCAATAAGTTGATATACCGGTAGTCAAAAAAGCACCAACAAAAGAAAACACAACACACACACAAAACGGGCAAAAAGGCATCAAATTAGCAGCTGCTTTCACAAGAGCTTCCGGGAAGACATGGACGACTAAGCGTGTTCCTAAGCGCTGGGAAAATGAGCGCACAAAAAAAATAAAATAAAAAAAATAAATGCGAAGAACGTGTTGGGCATTCAGAAATGAAAGAGGGGGGGGGGGATATGCCAAGTATGGGAGTTCGGATTTGGAGCAAAAGCTTGGTAAACATTGTCGTTCGGATTCCAAGTTGATCGAGTTCTAGAGCATTCGGATTCCCATGCCGTACTGTATATTTGTTTAGGGGACCTACTAGACACCAGGAGTGACTGCACCCTTAGCACGACCCTGTCTTCATTTATTGCAGTGATTATTTCAGAAATTTTCCTCCGGGGGGCACTTCAGGTTTTTCGGGTTGGGGGGGGGGGCAGTGCCAGCAGGGCCAGTTGGTTTATTGTTGGACATATTTTTGCTCGGGGGGGGGGCACTTTGGTTTCCAAGTGCCAGTTGATTTATTGTTGGACATATTTTTGCTCGGGGGGGGGCACTTTGGTTTCCCCGTGGTGGAGGGGGGGGGCGGAGCTATAGCTGAAAGAAACCCTGATTTATAGATGATTTTTTTAAAACAGTGGTTTTTTTTTTGGGGGGGGGGCAAACACACACCATTTTTTTCAGGCTTTGACCTGGACGCAACTTTTCCCTCGCACAGTCCAACTAAGAGATTAAGAGGACCAGGCAATGCGACTTTATGAGACACTTTAGATTTAATATTTTGATTATTTTGATTATGAAACAGTTTAAAATGCAAATGCACTAAAATTTCGTATACAAAAACATTTTTTTGTACATGAATGTAACACTCCTTCAAGGGATTTTTTCTTTGATTGCTCATCAGGCTTCAGCGAATAAAATATTGAGGCTGGGTGGGATTTATAATATAATCATTATTAATATTTAGTTTTCGTCCCTTACTAAACTTGAGACGCGGGTTAAATTATTCGGCTTCCAATACCACCCCCCCTCTCTTTTTTCTGGTTTATTTTCTTCTTGCTTAACAGTATTAACAGTGAAATGAATAGTTAACATATTATGTCAATTGCTGCTATTTTTTCCACATGACATTTCAGTTTTGACTGCTATGTAAATCTTAATTAAATAGGTGATTTATATTTAGTATTTAAACTTTAGAAATTTAGGTAGCTCCCGCCTTTATGTAAACGGTGCTTTTAATTTCGTACAGAAATAAAGGCGTGTCCGAACAACAACCGGTTCCTTTATTGACTTTAGACTTCAGTTGCTATCCGCGCACCTTAATTCCCCAGGGAAACTATAAAAGGTGGATACGAACTGGTTATAATTCATAATAAACTTATATTTAAAGCTTGGAAATTTTAAAGTACAAAAAATTGCTTACATCAATAATTTTTTCGTATTTTGTTAGATTTCACCCTTAAAATAGAAAAAAAAATACATTTATTTATGAACAAATAATAAATCATAGCCAATTTTATCTAACACCTGGCCTCGGTCAATCCCAAAATCCTCTGCTTCTTGTGTTATTGTGTCATCTTCTGGCTTCTAAAAAGAGAACACAACAAAAGTGACAAACATCTGTAAATTATGGTTTAATTTCAATTTTTTAAGAAAGATCTAAGTCCTATAACGGTTATGGGTGGGGAAAGATAACATATACTTGACTTTTGTGTGGAATAGGGTTCTTAGTGGTAGCAAAATGTCAACCACGTCTGCAACGAAAGGCGATTTCAACGTCGCAGGGAAATATCGTCTTGTACGCAAAATAGGCAGTGGATCATTTGGAGACATATACCTGGCCATAAATATTTCAAATGGAGAGGTAAATACATAGACTAATTATCTTCTGGTAGACCCATTTTCTGATTCTTAAATTCAATATTATCTTCGGTCAATTTAGGTCAATTTAAGCATTTATCTTCTATTTTTTTTCTTGACCAGTTGTTAATAAAGTATAAAGTCAACTGTTAGTGTTAGTAGTAGTAGTGTAGAGAGTAGTGTAAACTTGAGTGGTAATAGTATAGTAATAAATAGACTCTATCTCTATGCCTATTTGTGATTAATATGCATTATTAGACTATTTATAGGCCTTTACTCCTAGATATAGTAGATTCAGTATATGATAGAATCATTTAAACGTTAAACATTTGCGAGCTTGGTTTACAAACTTAATAAATTGTCTGTCTTAAAAGTTAGCCGCTTAGAACTTAGACCTATCTAGTATCTATAGTCTATAGTTAAACTTTTGGCCTAGTTGATCATATCATATACACTAGTTTTGGCTAATTTGGAGAGATAGTACCTTGATGTCATTTGCATGTTTATTAAAGTTGCGGTGAATTAGGGTTCAGGTTAAGTTTAAGGATACATTTAGTCTTTACTAGCATGGGAATATTTATGAAATCATTACTTTCATTTTAATCTATTTCAAATAATTCCAATAAAGAAATTCTGTGTCATTTTGAAATCTGGAGGATAACCCTCTCTGGCATCAGACATTATGGCGGTCAAAAAATTTGAGAACATTTCACACCCGATTAACACACAGTAACGGCATGAGGAAGCAAAGTCATATATATCGAATGATTTTCCCTTTTACCAATATACATCATATTAACGCATTTTATCTTCTATTTTTTGCATTTTTAATAACGATTTTGCTAGCCGCTGATTATATCGGCTGTGACACTACAGAAAGTGGTATAACAGCTGATGAGCGGCTGTTAGGACAGTTGTAGGGTTAAGTATTACCCGTTTAACTCTAAAATATTCTTGGCTTTCTGCCATTTTTTTCTCCCTCATTAGATACATTTACAATCTTGCTGGTTGTGCAATGAAGAAAATAGAAATAACAACATATTTTATATAGTTTTTTTCAGAATTGATCTATTATTTGATACCAATTATTAGATCACACTTAGTTTTGGTTTTGATTTATTATGGCCTAAAGATTAGGTTTTTAGGTGAGCTAAATTTTTACAAAAATGTAAACATACCACAAATGAAAAGACTAAAGCTATCAAGATATTTTTAATTATTTTGTTTTCTTTAGATTAAAAGAAATATGACTATAAGCCTAATGCTAGAAAATAATTAAAATGAAAGAATAAGATCTTGGCCACTATTGTTTTCTTTTACTAACAACATTGTTGTCGATATGATTTGTATTTATGCCAAAGCAGATATCTTTTATCAACTAATTTTTTCACAACTCACAACAACTAACCTCAGTAGTTGCATTCAGCATAACCTACAATAACAACAGAACCATTTTTACTGTTATTTAGAAATTGAATCTGCAAGAACCAATATTTCATTGACAGTTATGTTGTTCCATACTGTTATTGTGTTATATTTATGAAATTATTATGTACAATCCTCACAAGCTTCTCTTGATTAATTATTATGGTTTTTCCAGGGACCATATTTGCACGCATGTGCATTTACTCTCATAAGGCACATTTGAAATGAACTGTACCTGCTTATCAGCAGTTTACTCAGTTTTTTCTTTTAGAAACTTACTGTAAAGGCCTGTATATTGGCTAAATTAAAAGAATTTATGAATTCCAAAATCAAGTGAATAAACTCCTAAAATTTCCCACATTCCTCTATAAAATGATAGTATTTATAGCCTAAAAAGATGCAGCTCATTTTAATTTATTGATTACATGATGCATATACGCTTCCATAACTCATAGTTATGTTTTACTGCAAGTTGAAGTTTAATATGAATTTTATTAACTTAATATAAATGAAGTGTAAATAACATGTCACAAGCCTGTCTCTATACTAAAGGGGATGCTTCATCAATAATGTTAAAAGTGTTTAAATAAGTTAGTAGAAGATTGCAATGAAGGATTTTAAACAAATATGAGTTATTGTTGGACAGGCATAGAATTAATGCTTTACAAAATTGCACTCATGCAATATATTGTTCTCTTGACACACTCTAAATGTAACAAGGATGCTTAACAAGTACACAATCCTCTACCAATTTTCTTTTTACCATCAATACACAACATGTGTTGGAGTCTTAACAACTGTATAGTCACAATAATAGTTTAAACAAGTCATCACTTGCATTTTGTGTCTTATTTTAGTTAATTTTTCTACACTAGTATTCATATATCTATTAAATATAATTCATATTAGTCAGTTTTTGTTTTTTTTACATTTAGTTGCTTCCAAATAGTAAAAATTGTTGTTATAATTAATGAATAGATCATTCATTAATTCATGGATAAATTTTTGCACCTAGGAAGTGGCAGTAAAATTAGAGTCTACCAAGGCAAGGCACCCTCAACTTTTATATGAGAGTAAACTCTACAAATTGTTATCTGGAGGAGTTGGAATTCCACACATAAGGTTTGTGAGATGCAATTGCAATTTATCGTGTAGTACTCATTAAATAATTGGCTACATTGTTTTGAGCATAAAGTATTAGTGTCCTCCAAAAAATTTTTCTTTACAAATACCCTCAATATTTTGAAAATTTATATCAAGTTCATTTGGAGTTTAAAAATTGCAAATTTATTATTTTTCACATAAGCCAGTATATTGTTATATTAAAAAAACAAAAAAAAACAACAGAATTTAAAGAACAACCCAAACAGAAACAAAAATTTGGAGGAATATCTTGTAAAGCTTTAAATGGCTTGTAACATTCATATTTTATGCTATTTAATTAACTATGACATAAAGTCAAGTACATACAAGTGTAACCTTTTCCAGTTTTTATACCTTTAAGACAAAAAGTGTCAAACTGTTTTGCAAGGATGTAAGGATTTCCATAAGAAGGGAAACTCATATTCTGATGGATTTTTAAGATATTGCATTTGCGGGTACTTTTTTTTTGACTAAATCTTTTTGTAATTAATCATATCCCTTAATTAGCACAAAAAAACAAAGTTTCAGCTTAGAAATCATGGAGTTTGACTAATCAACTCATTAAAAAATATGTGTAATTAATCTTTGGTTTAAATAATTTTTTATAAAATTAATTGAATCTTATCTGACAATTCCTTATACTTTTTAATTATAGGTCAAAATCATTTTCCAGGCTAAGAAGTGCTTTGCCTGTATATTAATTATGTTAGCAGCAGTATAGTATTTCAACTAGAAAACTTAATAAGTTTAAAAATAGAAATGACAGAATTTTAAAATTTATTTGTTACATGGTGATGCTAGTGATAGTTTCCAAGCAAGCCAGGTTCTTTTGTTACATAGTGATACTAGTAATGGTGTCTAAGCAAGCGGGGTCTGTGCTAAGGACATGAGGATTAGATTTCCATGAAGTCCGAAAAAATTAATTGTTCTTTTGCTAAGCCATAATCATTGTTAATTATTTAAATCCAGTTTATAATGAAAATACAAAAAAAAAATGCCATAAAAATTATTTAATTAATTCAAAATTATGATTAAAAGCAGAGCAATGAAATCCAATGATGCAAAATCAAAATAGCATACAATGCATAAAAAGTTTGGCTCGTTGACAAAATTGGAATGAAAATGTTGTATAAACTGTGTTTCTTCAATAAAGGATAGTATTGTACTGATAAAGTTAAGCAGCCTTTTGCTCTCGCAGGTGGTTTGGTCAGGAAAAGGATTACAATGTTCTTGTCATGGACTTATTGGGACCCAGTTTGGAGGATCTCTTCAATTTTTGTGGTCGCAAGTTTACAATGAAGACAGTCCTAATGTTGGCTGATCAGGTAATAATAAAAATGTTATGTCTTTGTCAATAAACAAATAATTTCAATTTAAATAACTATAAAGCTCTACAATAAAAGCTATAACAGACTACCTATAATTTAACTTAAAAGTATTGAGAATTAAAGTAAAGATTTTCAATATAAATGTGGTTGGGTTTTATATAAATATATGAGGAAATTACAAATACCTTTTTTCTTTTGGTATGCCTTCATAAATTAAAAAAAAAAATTTGTAAGATATACATGTTTAAATAAGTTCTTTCATCTGGATTGTCAGTACTTAAATGCTAAAAAATGATAAAATATTAAAATTGTTAAAAAAATTGACTATAAAGTTATAGAAATGTTGTTTATTTTTCATTTAGATGATCAACCGTATCGAGTATACACACAACAAAAACTTCATTCATCGTGATATCAAGCCAGACAATTTCCTTATGGGTATTGGCAGACATTGTAATAAGGTAGGTATTTTAGTCTCTATAACTATAAATATATTTATCTCTGAAATAACAACTTCATATTGTTATTTAATTCTTTTATAGCATGTAAAAGTGAATAAAATTGCTTTTGTTTGCATGAAAATAGATTATTAGATACCGATCATTTTAAATATTCAATCCTTTGAAAGATATCAGCTGATCTCCCAGAGTGTAATCCCTTCTTATTTTAAATATACTTGAATTTCAATAGGCAAATTAATTTTTAAAATTTCAAATTTGTTTTTGCCATATGGTGTAGGGCAGTGATTCCCAAACTTTTAAGTTTGGCGGACCGGGGAACATGTTTTGAAATTTTACCAGGGGCCTGTGCATGATTTATTTTATACTTCTATTTCTATTTGACAAAAAAATATTTATGTTATGGGGACCGGCAGCGTTAGGCATGTGGACCGGTAAAGGTCCACGGACTGCCATTTGGGGACCACTGGTGTAGGGAATAGAGAGAGCAGTCAACTTATTTATAACATTGGGAAATGCAGGTTCTTAGAATTAAAAAGCAACTTTAATGGAATTATTTTATTAACATTAGTAAGAACTATTATTCTTCAGGTGTTTATAATTGATTTCGGCCTTGCAAAAAAGTACCGTGACAACAGAACGCGCCAGCATATCCCTTACAGGGAGGACAAGAACCTGACAGGCACAGCGCGTTATGCCAGCATTAATGCACACTTGGGGATTGAGCAGAGTCGACGGGATGACATGGAGTCCTTGGGTTATGTTCTCATGTACTTTAATCGAGGTTCACTACCATGGCAGGGACTTAAGGTAAGTGCTCATCTTTAAGGTTTAAAGAAAAATATTTGCATTTTAAATGCATTGCTTTTATTATCTTTATTTATTTTCAAAATAATTTTCTTCTGTATTTTACAGGCAGCAACGAAAAAGCAAAAGTACGAGCGAATTAGCGAAAAAAAAATGTCAACACCAGTGGAAGTTCTTTGCAAAGTATTTATATTTTTAGTTCCTTTTGGGTTTTAAAAAGTTTAAATTATCATTTTCTTAATAATTTATTTTAGTTTAAAAATTATAAATACAGTTTCTGGTTATTGAGAACCTTAGCTGTCGTTTTCCTGAAAAGAGTTTAATTTTTCAAAATCATTGATTAATAGTTAATGACTTTTAAAAAAGAGAATGCAGTAAATTTGGGGCCTTGTAAACCTATTAGACTTCATTCACATCTGGAAAAGTAATGCCATCTACACTCTTAACACCTTACATTTGCTGTAGACTAACAACCAACAGATGCTAACAACATTTGTTGCTAAAAAAATCTTTAATCATTATTTAAACACTTTCTTTGTCCAGGGATTTCCTGCAGAGTTTGCCATGTACCTCAATTATTGTAGAGGCTTACGATTTGAAGAAGCGCCGGATTACATGTATCTAAGGCAACTGTTTAGGATCCTGTTCCGCACCCTAAATCACCAATATGATTATGTGTTTGATTGGACAATGCTTAAACAGAAAGCTGCGTCATCCTCAGCCTCTGGTATCGCTATGTCCTCTTTGGCAGCCAATGGTAAGCAGTGAGGAAAAGCATATGTAGAAATATTTTCACATTAAAATGTTGCCTATATGTTTCAATGAATTTATTAGTGGTCAACTAAAGTAAAAATTTAACTCATTTCAATGATGAAAGAAAAAATTACATTTTCAAAACATATTCCTGGGATTTTTTAAATTGATGGGACTGAATTGTTAAGATTGATTTGAGTACTGGGTGTCATGGGCTCCAAAATAATAAGCTTGGTTTTGATTGACAGTACTTACTATTTTATAAATATTGTTTACCAATACACATCACTTTACTTAGGGACCATCTTCTGGGTACTGTCGATAGGGTCAATAAGTATCTGTCAAGGGGCTCATGATAGTCTGTGTTGAAAATCAACTAAATTCTTAGGTTGTAAGTGATAAAAGTAGAAATGGCACATGAACTGTTAAAATATTTCTACATATTATATCTGTTAACATAAACAATATTCATGTTTTAGAATGGTGGTAGATGTATGAGTATCCAACTGGTCAGATTTGATTTTACTCTCATGTTGTAAGATTTCTACAACTGCACTGTTTTATTGATCTTTGTTTTCTCTCCAAACCAGTACCCAAGCAGGTATGAGCTAATTGTCATGTTATCAGTTTTGTTTCCTTGTAGTGATTCAATCCATTTAATGTTATATTTCAGCTGTTTTGGAGACCCCCCCCCACAAATGTTACATTAAACTGTCTTTCCAACAAGTTCTGTAATGAACTTGAATAACATCCATTTACTCCTCTCATCTTGATCCTATCCAGAGATTATTAGAATAGGACATGTTTAATTCAGGTGCATCTACAGGCATAATAAACTGCACTAGCAAGTAAATGATTGTATTACTGTGCTTCAAAGATTTACCTTTCTTAGCAATTTTCAAGGTAGTAGTGGTGACTTGTAGTGGTGGGCTGTTAAATAACAATTATCCTTAATGAAATTAAACCTTTTCATAATTAACAATCAATTATATATAATTATTAATCAACGTATTTAAAAAAGAAACTTGAATTATTTGTATTCCCTATCCTTGTTATGCAATATTTTCTTTTGTGAACTAGAAGTGCATGATACATTACTCAAGTCAATTTGAAAAGTTCATCTCCACTAAACTCAACATTATTTGCGGTGTGACATTTCCTCTTTTTGCTATTCCTATGGGTATTCAACCTCAGTTGTGTACAATCCACAATATGTGTAATAATGGATGTGGAATTATTCAATTATTTATATCTTCTGTAACCAATTTAGTGTGAGAAATACGCAAGCTCTGTAAGATCTTTTCACCTTAATGCAGTTGAGTTTTTTTGAAAACAAAGGAAATTCAAAATCCCAAAATTGATTATAACTAATGTATTGCACCAATAATTCAAAGCACTGTCTTATGTTGTTGGTACCTCTTTGTTCAGCCTATTGATTAATTTACTTTTTTTTTTTGAATATTAGGAAATAGGCAAAAAATTCAAACTTGAACATTTCTAATATATTTTATTTGGCCAATTTAAAAAAAAAAGAATTTGAAATGTAACGCAATATGAGACAAATTCACTTGTAAATGATGTCAATGTTGGGTGCAGATTTCTGTTGAACGCTCAAGCTTAGTAATGCAATAGTCAGTACAATTTTAACTTTGAATTACTTTTACTTTTTTTTTTTTTTTTATTACCATTACAGCTTTTCTCCTGGTAATATTTCGGTGACCTTTTATTTGTGTTACTGTTGAACGCTCAAGCTTAGTAATGCAATAGTCAGTACAATTTTAACTTTGAATTACTTTTACTTTTTTTTTTTTTTTATTACCATGACAGCTTTTCTCCTGGTAATATTGCGGTGACCAGTTAATTGTGTTAACCTCCAATTTAAAATAAGGATTGTGTAACAGTAGTTAGTCATTCATATTCTAGTTATTTTTTTAATTAATAATTAATTTATTCACACAGAATCTGCCTCAATATTTATTTTTACATGTAGGATTCTTCTTTTAATTTTTCCTTTGAAACTAGGATTTGATTCTACATTTCAGGAATGAGATAAACTAAGACATACCAGTCTTAAGGAATTTCAGGAGATGTTTTGATGGTCTTGACGCCAAAGAGCAAGTTCTGTCGACCACTGTCCACAAACGTTACCAAAAAAGTGGATTTTTTTAAAAACTTACCAAACTCCAGTCATCTTCAGATGATGCAGGATTATAGTTTTTTTTATTTTTATCAGTTTCTTCATTACTGTTAATAATTTTTTTTTGTAAATTTGATTATATATCTTTATTTGTGGTTATGCTCTTTTAACAACAAACTTGTGCAGGCTTTTATAAAGTAAAAATATGTCTATAAGGAAATTAAGTAAAATAACTGATTGTTTGAGCAGAGGCCATGATAAAGAACTTGTACATTCTCCAACCACTCCCCGACTTTTGCTTCTCTTAAATTGTGGGAGTATTGAAATAACTTTGTATTCCAGGTAGAGCCATCTTCACCAAGGACACTGCCTAAATATCCATGGAATCCTCCACTATCATCAATAAGTGTGATTTATAATTTATCTTAAGACAAGAAATAATTCCATTAACATTTTTCAAGAGGTTTATTTTTTTTCTATTTTCTAAATATTATTCATCAGGACAGTTGGGTCAGAAAAAAAGTATTTTAAATTTTGGTTGTGATTAGCTTGTTAATTGGTTTCAGTAGAACTGCCATGACTGCTTTACTCTCACTGGTTTGCTGAACTCTTTTTCTAGATTAAAGTTAATCTCAGGCCCTGACTCATTTTTATGTCCAGCTTATGTGGAGAATCGATTTTCAGCTATTTGGTGAGAGGTTTCAAATATGAATTGCACCATTTTAGTTTATAAGTATATTTTTCTTTTACTCTTTAAAAAAAAAAAGTTCCAGGAGCTTTTAAAATTTGATTAAATTCTGATTAATACACCTGATCCAATAAGTACTGATAATATTTTCAACTATCTTGGGGAATAATGTTTTTAGGATTGTAAACATGTATGATATATGTGGTAGTTGAATGGATGAAAGGGATTCATTTGTTTGAAAAGAATTTCTTTGAAGTCATCATTTTCTGCTCTTTACAAGAACAGACATTTTTTTTTTTTTACAGAAGCTTTTTTTTTCTTCTTAAAATTGTATACTGAGATAATACCTGAGGCATTAGGGGTTGGCTTGTAGAAATTATTTCGGATCAAATCCTGCTTCAACCTTATACTATAGGAATGGACAAAACACTAAATAAATTTATCAAGAAATAATTGGAAAACATACTAAATAATTGTGGAAAAGCTATTATTTTCTTTTATTGCTAAGATATTTTTGATTAAAGACATTACTTTGAACAATTGTCTGTTGCTTAAAAAAAAAGAAAGCATGAATGTCCAAACTGAAACTCATAATTTTTTTTTCATTTAAGAAGAGGAATTCTGACCTCACCATTTTGTTGGTGCAATAATACATAACAGTGCCATTTACACCAACATTTTAATGAAGCCTGACAATCAGTCACAAAATTACCATCTGGCAGAGTTGAGGTTATTTACAAATGAATGTCATGATATCCCATTGTACATTTTTTTGATTAACTGTCTCTTTTTGATGGAGAGTTTGGTTTGATCATTTCATTTCCTTGCTTGTCAGTGTTTGTCTTGGTGATATGTAATAAGACATTTCCGTTTAGGAATAACCAGCTTGTACATTTCATATTTTGTGTTGTCTATAGCATAGTGCTCTGTATCTTGCTAGAAAAAAATGTTACATTGTATTTATAATCCATCTTGTCATCCTTAACATTATTCCCCTTTGATTAAAAAAAAATCCTTTAAAATATATTTAATGTCTGAATTTAACATTTTACATAACAAATAAAATATAACTCTCTATTTACTCTCTGTACATACACTAATGGTAAGAAAGATGAGGAAATTGAACCATTCATTTATTTGTTCATTTTTTTTCCACCTTATGTAACTAAATATTTTTGAATACCACAGATTTTGTAAAACCCTTACTTCTTGTAGTACTTTGTAGTTTAAGGAGATCGAAGATAGCACATCATTTTTTCAGCCCTTTAAATGGAGTCTTAGTTTATGTCTTAAAATATTACAATCTTTCAAAGTAGTTTGTGTTTGTTAATCACATGACTGTGCTAAGTGTCACCAGAAGCCACTATGGCAAATGTTTGAATGTCTATCGATGCTCAGTGAGACTGAATCTATCATTTCAAAACTGTTTTGCCTCTTCCATTGTGCTGGTATTCATTTCATCTGAATGCTGCATACTTTTCCTTCAAAGCTGCATTATCAGAGGGTGAATAGAGGGGTTCCATTGGCTTTAAGAACTGTATGTATATTTTAAACACTTTATGGATTCTTCTTATGCATGACAAATTAAAATACTATTCATGTTACAATTGTTAATCAGCACTTGCGGTAAATATAGATTTCTTTTGTGAAAAACGTGATATGCTGGAGCTGATGGTATGCTATCATGATGTTGTATGACAGTTTTTTTGGCAATAACTATATTTTATCATGCAGTACCTGGACCATTATTCATACCTACCATTGTATGAATGTGTGTGTATGTATCATGTTTCGTCAACATTAATGGCCTTATAAATTTTTGAAATATACATACCTATATGTTCACTGCACACAAACTATTCTGACCTCTGCTGTTAAAATGATGCATGATAACTTTAGATGAATAAGTCATTGGTTTTGACTCGTGGTAATATATATAGTGTAAAGAAAATAAATTAGTATTTCATTCCATATTGTAGGTTAATTGTGAGAATTTATCGGTTTTATACATTTAAAATCTACAGCCTCATGTAACAAAAACTATCTTGTTTTTTTAACTGGTTGTGTTTCATGACAAAAAACAACCTATCATTGTTTTAAAAGTTTTATCAACTAAACAAATTAATCTTCATATCTGATCATACAGTCCTTAAACTAAGCTATGATGTTGGCCTGGGAACAATGTAAATTGAATTTCAGTTATGTGGATCCTTTTTGAGTTAAATCTTTTAATCTTAGTGAAATGAAGTAATGAGAACAAACATGAGTTCTTCTGACAAATATCTCAATGCAGAAACAACAAAAATTTGCCTAAAAAAATTAAAAAAAAAAGCAGCACCATTCATTTATTTACAAGACAAATGATTTGACTGTACATTGTCAACATGGGTGTGTCATAACATTAACTTGTTTCCATAACTTGTTGAGTCTATAAAATAGTTGTTTGTTTTTATAATAATTCATTCTATGAACATGTCCTTGTCCAACTTTGCTCACAATTCCACTGACATTTTACCAGCGTTCATGTTGTTTGCCCCCAGAAATAAAAAAATATCAAGATTTTAAATCCTAAGTATGCATTCACTCAGAAACCGGGTAACATTTCCAGCTCATACTCTCAATGTTTGCCTTGTTACTGAAATCTATGATAATTTATTCCTTTTGAAATACATCCATTGATTTACCTTGAGATCAGCATTGGATTTTAATAAGTAGTCTGTACCGAATCATTGCCACTCAGTTAACATCACAGCAGACATGTCTCACATCATGCTGTCTTAATGAACTTGTGTTTTATTATTTAGAATCACATTTAAATGTCAGCTACGTCTCATAATGGTCTGGTCTGTCTTATGTACATAGGCCAACCAGAATTGCTGTTTGTTTAGTTCCCTCAAGATAGATTCATGATGGGCTACATTTACAAACTACCCATGTTCTGGTTTAGTCTTTTGTGTAGTGTTTGTTTTAAAGCTTTCAACCACAGTTTTTATTTACAACCATAGATAACAGTTTACACACACACCCCCATTTTATTTCTTTTTGAGCCTGATTACTGTCTTCAGCATTGTAAATAATTAGAAGATTTTTTTCTCCAGTTTTTGCCATTTTCCATAAAGAAAGGTTGTTATAGACCCGAATGAATTAATTTACACAATTGTTTTTGAAATAGACAGAACTTTGTTGTTTTAATCAATTCACTTTCTTATAGGCAGGATTTTGTTTTGGTGAAGTCACTTACATAGAAAAATATCAAAACTCAAATTTTTTATAGAAGAAATTGGAATAGATTTTATCTCAGTAATTTTGACATTAAAAAAAAAATTGTCTTTTGATAAAAAAAGAAGTTAAATAGGCTCTGGTTGGGGTCAAAGTTAAAAATGGTCAATGTATTAGAATTAGTAGAAGTCTGATCTAATAGTTGGTATTTTTGATTAGACTCATCAGAGATGTGAGGAAAAGAGTTTGGGAGTTACCATTGTGCACAATATTTGTAGAAAGATTATTGCTTAGAAAAAAGTAAGCTTTTATTATTTTTGCTTGGTTCTGGGGTTTTTGATTTCCTCCATTGTAGATCTGAAAGGATATGTACATACAAATAACTGAATAAATTTAATGAAGCATTGGACCACCCACAGCACTTTTCTCCCCATTAAAATTGTGATTATCTCCTCTAAGGTAAATTGTTACTGCCTGTGGGATTGATAGTGATTATCTCCCTTTAGGTTAAGTGTTGCTGCCTGTGGGATTGATAGTGATTATCTCCCTTAGGGCTTAGTGTTACTGCCTATGGGATTGATGGTGATTATCTCCTCTAAGGCAAAGTGTTACTGCCAATGGGATTGATATGTTTACCTGGTTCTTTCCTTTTCTTGTGTGTTTTAAAAAAAAATCTCTGTAGACCTAATTTGTAAGTATGAGTCATGGGAATGCTACTTGATACTCTCTAATCTAATAAACTACACATTTTTTTTATCAATGCAACCAACAATAATTGGACCTTTAAACATGATTTCAATTTTATGATTCTTGTTTTTTTTTTTTTTTTTGTGTGATGTAAGAAGTTCTTTTTTTGTGCTTATAAATTTAACAGTTTTACTTCTCTCTGCTGAGAATGTTTCATTATTTTTTTTTTTTTTTTTTTTTTTTTTTTTTTTTTTTTTTGGTGTGATGTAAGAAGTTCTTTTTGTGTGCTTATAAATTTAACAGTTCTACTTCTCTCTGCTGAGAATGTTTCATTAAAAAAAAACAATAACTGGTTGAGTCTAATATTTGTTGATTCTTTATTAAGTTTCTGATATGATTCTAGTGTATTTGATGAAGTCTCATGCTTAAGACTAAGAGACATTGATCATGTCATTACCAGAGTTAAAAATTTAAAAAATAAGGAATGGAAGATTGACAAAAACCAATGAATGTGTATGCTAAAAGATCTTCATGGAATAACCGTCACATTTTTTTTACTTTCAACTTTCAGGATTTTAAAAAACAGATTTCCGATTTATTCGGGTGTACTGAAATTTAAACTTGTACCGGTATGACTGAAGCTCTTTTTGCGCAGTCAGGCAATTATTAATCCAATGTAGGTGCTGCCTTCCTACTCAATAACACCTTGCTAACAAGTCCAATCGACCTGGCCTATAGCTTGTGATGACCCAAGAAGAATTTTTGAGCTCATGATCTCTTATATGCAGAGCTTATCATGGGACCATGTTCACGACCTTTTTAATATTTTTATGTGTACTGAGTTATGCGGAGCAGTATATTGTCTTGTTCAGTATTGACATATTTCTTATAAGCTTTACATGCTTTGGGGCTGATGATTTTTATCAGCTTAATTGCTATGGAAGTCATTCGTATATTTGTACATATTGGACTCTGTTCCACTACCACTTTGGCAGTGTCTTTTAAATCTCAACAATAGAGTTAATAACCACCGAATAGAGAATGAATCACAATATGTGGTAAGAGAATGTAGTTCTGGTTCACCAGTGCCTGATAAGTAGCTGTGAAATCGCTCTATATTTTCTCATTTTTGGAATGTTTCTCTCAAGTTTTATTCCTGATAGTTGGATATAGTTGTATCTGAAAGTCTCCTTGACGTATGATTATAATTTATTTCGAACATAACTAAGAATTGGTGGACTTATCTGTGTTTTCCATTCTATAGATTAATTAATTTAAACAAAAACAGTCACTGCTATTAACAAATACTTCCAGTTCACGAGTCGCTTGACAAGAAGCAGTGAAATCTCTCCAAATTTTCTCATTTTTGGAATGTTTCTGCCAATTTTTATTCCTGGATAGTTTGATATTGTTTTAGTAGCTAAACTTTTCACTCATAACAATCAACAAGTGTATCGCGGATAAAGAAGTATGACCACATCACCCAGTTCTACGAGATCTCCCATCAACTGCATAGAAGGCTCTGCACAGGAATATCTTAAAGAACTGATTTATAAACCTGTACCCAGAACCTGCGGTCTTCAGCAGTCTTAACATTTAAAGATTTTTTTGTTTAAATTAAATAGATTTAAGACCACCAGAGCGCAGTGAGCATGCTAAAGTAGCATGGATACCAGCGCTATATTAATATCCAATCAATCAATCAATATGATGAACAACGGGATGGCATTAAATGTCCTTCATTTAGGAACTTTTAGGCTATCCTGGAGAAAATAAAAGAGTAAACTACCTATCACCTTAATACAAACCAGCAGGAAAACTAGATTTATCTTGATAGTCAGAAACTATAAATAGAACATTCAGTTTTGAAGATGTGAAAACTAGATTTATCTTGATAGTCAGAAAATCTAGAAATAGATCATTCAGTTTTGTAGATGTTTCGTTGAGTTTGAGAAAATTGTGTTTCCTTTAAACGCCTGTCATCAACTGCCTCTATCTGAAATGTCCCTTTTAAATGGTTTATAAAAATAATATTTTTATGGCAAATTTTTCTTGGTAAGTTTATAGAACTGTAAACTAGCTTGTACTGGGCCGTTTGCCTTGGCATAATTATACTTGTTTGAGAACCTGCGATTCTGACATTACTAAGACAAACCTAGTCAACCAACCATTGTCAACCAGCTGTTGCGCACCAACTATGGTCCACCAACTATGGTCCACCAACTATGGTCCACCAACTATGGTCCACCAACTATGGTCAGCAAACCACATTCCAACTATAGTCCATCAACCATAGTCCACCAGCTTTTGCCCACAAACTATGGTCAGCCAACCACATTCCAACTATAGTCCACCAACCATAGTCCACCAGCTTTTGCTCACCAACTATGATCAGCCAACCACATTCCAACTATAGTCTACCAATCTTAGTCTACCTGCTGTTGCCCACCAACTGTGGTCCGCCAACCACATTCCAACTATAGTCCACCAACCATAGTCCACCAGATGTTGCCCACCAACTATGGTCAGCCAACCACATTCCAACTATAGTCCACCAACCATGGTCCACCAACTATGGTCCACCAGCTGTTGCCCACCAACTATGGTCAGCCAACAACATTCCAACTATAGTCCACCAACCATGGTCCACCAACCATGCTCCACCAACCATAGTCCACCAGCTGTTTCCCACCAACTATGGTCAGCCAACCACATTCCAACTATAGTGTAACAACTATAGTCCACCAGCTGTTTCCCACCAACTATGGTCAGCCAAATCCATTCCAACTATAGTCCACCAACCATAGTCCAAAAGCTGTTGCCCACCAAATATGGTCAGCCAACCACATTCCAACTATAGTCCACCAACCAGAGTCCACCAGCTGTTGCCCACCAACTATTGTCAGCCAACCACATTCCAACTACAGTCCACCAACCATGGTCCACCAACCATAGTCCACCAGCTGTTTCTCACCATTTATGGTCAGCCAACCACATTCCAACTATAGTCCACCAACCATAGTCCACCAGCTGTTTCCCACCAACTATGGTCAGCCAACCACATTCCAACTATAGTCCACTAACCATGGTCCACCAACCATAGTCCACCAGCTGTTTCTCACAATTTATGGTCAGCCAACCACATTCCAACTATAGTCCACCAACCATAGTCCACCAGCTGTTTCCCAACAACTATGGCCAGCCAACCACATTCCAACTACAGTCCACCAACCATTGTCCACTAACCCTGGTCCACAAACCATAGTCCACCAACCATGGTCCACCAACCATAGTCCACCAACCATAGTGCACCAACCATGGTCCACCAACCATAGTCCACCAACCATAGTCCACCAACCATAGTCCACCAACAATGGTCCACAACCATAGTTCACCAACCATAGTCAACCAACCATGGTCCACCAACCATAGTCCACTAACCATGGTCCACCTACCACCGTCCGCCAACCATAGTCCACCAACCATGGTCCACCAACCATAGTCCACCAACCATAGTCCACCAACTCTAGTCCACCAGCTGTTTCCCATCAACTATGGCCAGCCAACCACATTCCAATTATAGTCCACCAATCATTGTCCACCAGCTGTTGCCCACCAACTATGGCCAGCCAACCACATTCCAACTACAGTCCACCAACCATAGTCCACCAGCTGTTTCCCCACCAACTATGGCCAGCCAACCACATTCCAACTATAGTCCACCAACCAGAGTCCACCAGCTGTTTCCCACCAACTATGGCCAGCCAACCACATTCCAAATATAGTCTACCAACCATAGTCCACCAGCTGTTTCCCACCAACTATGGCCAGCCAACCACATTCCCACTGTAGTCCACCAACCATAGTCCACCAGCTGTTGCTCACCATTTATGGCCAGCCAACCACATTCCAACTATAGTCCACCAGCTCTTGTTAACCAACTATGGCCAGCCAACCACATTCCAACTATAGTCCACCAAACATAGTCCACCAGCTGTTTCCCACCAACTATGGCCAGCCAACCACATTCCAACTATAGTCCACCAACCATAGTCCACCAGCTGTTTCCCACCAACTATGGCCAGCCAACCACATTCCAACTATAGTCCACCAACCATAGTCCACCAGCTGTTTCCCACCAACTATGGCCAGCCAACCACATTCCAACTATAGTCCACCAACCATAGTCCACCAGCTGTTTCCCACCAACTATGGTCAGCCAACCACATTCCAACCATAGTCCACCAGCCATAGTCCACCAGCTGTTTCCCACCAACTATGGCCAGCCAACCACATTCCAACTATAGTCCACCAAACATAGTGCACCAGCTGTTTCCCACCAACTATGGCCAGCTAACTAGATTCCAAATATAGTCCACCAATCATAGTCCACCAGCTTTTTCCCACCAACTATTGTCCGCGAACCACATTCCAACTATAGTCCACCAACCACAGTCAACAAGACACTTAAACTTTCCTATTTCTTGACTCAGATAAATTGCGGGGGAGGTGGGGGGAAGGGGGTTACGGTAGAAACGATTTTTATATTCTTCCGTAGGAGAGCTTAATGGTCGACCTAACAAATTTAAATCGTAGACCTAATATATGAGATAAAAGGCGGACCCACAAATTAAGATAAACGGTGGATAAACTGTGGGCCTAATGGGCAGATGAGATAAACTGTGGACCTAATGGGCAGATGAGATAAACGGTGGACCTAATGGGCAGATGAGATAAACTGTGGACCTAATTGGCAGATGAGATAAACTGTGGGCCTAATAGGCAGATGAGATAAACTGTGGGCCTAATAGGCAGATGAGATAAACGGTGGGCCTAATAAGCAGATGAGATAAACGATGGGCCTAATAGGCAGATGAGATAAACGGTGGGCCTAATAGGCAGATGAGACAAACGGTGGGCCAAATAGGCAGATGAGATAAACGGTGGGCCTAATAGGCAGATGAAATAAACGATGGGCCTAATAGGCAGATGAGATAAACTGTGGGCCTAATAGGCAGATGAGATAAACGGTGGGCCTAATAGGCAGATGAGATAAACGATGGGCCTAATAGGCAGATGAGATAAACGATGGGCCTAATAGGCAGATGAGATAAACGATGGGCCTAATAGGCAGATGAGATAAACGATGGGCCTAATAGGCAGATGAGATAAACTGTGGGCCTAATAGG